TGGACCCAATTTAATAAATTCGTATTTATTTAAGTATAAATGCAAAATGAACAATCTACATACCAATGGAAAGAGGAAGTTTCAAAGTTTTTTTTACATATTTATAAATGTTCAATATGTCCCCCTTGTGCGGCATGGCAAACATCTAAACGGTAGCCAAACTCGTCCCACACACGAGAAAGCATATCTTCTGTTATTGAGTGCACCGCAGCAGTGATACGGTTCCTCAGATCAACCAGAGTTGCCGGTAGAGGCGGGACGTAAACAGCTTCCTTGACGTAACCCCATAAGAAATAGTCACACGGGGTGAGATCAGGAGATCTCGGTGGCCAGAAGTGTAGAGCCAGATCTTCATTTCCTATGCGTCCTATCCAACGCTCAGGAAGTGAATGATTCAAAAAGTTTCGGACATCAAGATGCCAATGGGGCGGAGCTCCATCCTGTTGGAAAATGAAGTCCTGTGAATCTTCCATAAGTTGAGGGAACAACCATTGTTCCAACATGTCCCGGTAAGTGATTCCAGTCACAGTTCTTTCCGCAAAAAAAAATGGTCCATAAATCTTTGTACGAGATAAGGCACAGAACACATTTACCTTTGGCGAGTCTCTTTCATGTTGTAATGTTGCATGTGGATTTTGTAGACCCCATATGCGTACATTGTGTCTGTTGACTTTCCCACTGAGGTGGAACGTAGCTTCATCGCTATAAACGATACGCTGTAGAAATCCGTCATCCTCCATCATTTGTAGCATATCACCACAAAATTCAATACGCTTCACTTTGTCATTAGGTTTTAGAGCCTGCACAAGTTGTAATCGATAGGGCTTGTACAGTAAACGTCTTCGCAGAACTCTCCATACAGTTGTTTGGGGTATGCCAAGTTCTGTACTAGCTCTATTGGTTGACTTCCTTGGACTGCGAACAAAACTTTCTTCAATTCGTCTTACGGCGTCATCAGATACACGCGGTCGGCCTGTGGTTTTTCCTTTACACACACTTCCAGTTTGCTGAAATTGCGTAAACCAACGGCTAATGCTTTTTCTTGTCGGTGGTTCAATACCGAATTTCAGACGAAATGCCCGCTGCACTGTAACTTGCGACTCACTTTTAGCAAACTCAAGAACGCAGAAAACCTTGTGCTGCACGGTAGCCATCTCACTCACAACTGACAACACAAAGGCGGCTGGCTGGCGCGAGAACTCTAGCGGCCGTTTCTGCATATGTAAAAAAAACTTTGAAACTTCCTCTTTCCATTGGTATGTAGATTGTTCATTTTGCATTTATATTTAAATAAATACGAATTTATTAAATTGGGTCCATCATTTAGAATAACCCTGTATATCTTAGTTTTGAAACTGCTATTCCAAAAAACTGGATATTAGGCAAGACCACTGCGTTCTTTACCAACTATAATAAAATTTCACAGGACACCATTGACTGTTTTTTAGTTCATTTGTTCCCATTGGAGGTTACAACAATCAACCGCGCACCGCCGCGACAATTTCAGTCTGCACATATATTTTAGTGTGAATTCTGTAAGTCCAGCTTAAAATCTGACCATTCCTCGAAAAGCTACCGAGGCACTGGGACCAAGAAGAAACTGCAATCGACGAAATAGTTTCTATGGATCATGACTATTTTTTTTTATTATACCTGAATCACAATCTCCGTTTTAAACACTCAAATGCGTGCGAAAAAGGGCCTTTAAAACACACGTGCTTTAAAGTTGCTAAGTAACGATACTTCAAGTATGACTTTTGAAACTGTCATCTGGATGA